GTCCGGAGAGGAAAATATGTTACTTTTGGTTTATTTAGGGAAGTAGGTTGGTACTGATTTGCATTTCCAAGTTTTCTAGAGGAAACATAATGTTTGTGACAGTTCCCTACGTGTCCTACCTAGTAGAATCAACCACACGTAAGAACAACATAGCCAAAAGATGATTGTTTTTCTAAAAGAAATCATGACGGCTAATAAGACGTTAAATATTTAACTGTTGTGTGGTAGAGCTCTCGAGAACCACAGGAAGTGATTAGTGGAGCCCATGACTGAGGTTCCTAACTGGGGGTAAGGGATGTGGGTGTCTAACAGGATGGCCAAACTGACTTAGCCTCATGTTAACGTCCCCACATTTATTTGTATGGTCTCACTTAAAGGTGCTGTTTACCTTATTTACATTAGTAACAAGCTAACCAGTCCTGTTGGTGGACCACAAACACCTCATTTTCATATTCCTACTCAGTGAGGTCCATTTTTACAGTCTCTGTGTCAATCTGTCAGTCTGTTGAGTTTCTTCCTCTCTTTTTCTGACCTTTTCCGTTTCTCAGCATGATGGCTTTTTCTAAGAACGGGCTCCTTGAGCATGTTGGAGATTGTGAGAACGGCCCAGGACAGGGCAGGGTTCCAGTCAGTTCAGATGTGCCTAAGGCCATTATGAGTCCTGGTCGACTGGGGCACCTCACCATGACTCAGCTGTGTGAAGAACAGCAAAGACAGTGGGTAGAAAGCCACACTGCATAAGCCACAGCGGCAGGGGAAACCATCCTCGGCTCCGTTATCTCTGGGTCCTGGGTGAGGAAATGCTTCTAATGTGTTTTCTTAAAGTAGAATAGAAAATAGCAGAGTCCTCTTTATAATTTTGTTTCAGCTGTGTTCTTATGTGCTGGGCTTAAAGTAAAATCTTTAAAAATCTGTGGATATTTTTGTTCAGAATCAAAAGACTTTTATTGAGGTCTGAGCAGTAGCTCTCAGCGTGATCTTGGTACACCCACGTGGTTTTAAGCACCCTTGTTAGGAACGTATCTCGGGCCCCATCTCAGACCCCTGCAATCAGACCCTGTGGACATGGGCACAGATAGCCTGGGGATCTGGTCTCCCCATCCTCTACTGTGCGTGCTGACACCTGGACCACACTTGGGATCAACACCAGGCTAGTTTGTTGCAAATTCAGACTCTTAGACCCAGCCCTGATAGCTAGAATCAGAATCTACCAAGACCCTCAGATAGCTGAATGCTCTTGCTAAAGGCTCATTATATCTCATTGAAGCTGTTTAATAAAGAAAACAACAGGATCTTAGGATTATCTGTAGTTGAAGACTAAGAAAAGCAAATGGTGCACAGAAGACTTGAACCAACGGGTTTTGAACCAACACTGTGATGCGTTGACTGGGAGTCCTTGGTGATGGTTCTGCAGGACGAGACTGCTGATTTGAATGAGTTGTTTTCATAAAATTCTGTTCTGATGGTGTCTGTCAAAATAGTAGACCCAAAGCCAAATAGGCAAAACTCCTAAAATTATCCCCTACGAAATAAACCAATTTAAAAATCCAGACGAGTGAGCGTTGCTGAGGGAACTGTGGTGGATAGTCTGTGAGGAGCTGTGTGATAACCTAAAGGTTGCAGGTCTGCAAATCCACCTGTGACTCCACTGGGCAGTCTCTTCCTGTGCAGTTTAAAGACTCAGGAAAGCCATTTGAAAGTCAGCTGTGGCTCTCACCCTAACTCTCCTTTGCTGCTGATAGTATGCAGTAAGGTCTGAGTTCACCCCGTCTTCCCAGGGTCCCTTCCCCCTTTTCCTTCTCTCTTTTTCACTTTACCTCTTCTGAGTGGCCTACTTTTTGCCAGCGATGCCTCTGACTTACTACCTTAATAAACCTTTTCCACTTGATTTGCTAAATTATTGCGGGGGAGGGAAGCAAGTCAGCTGTAAGTTGATCTGACTAGATGGCAGTGAGTTTGAATTTGACCTGAACCACATATGCCTTCGAGGACCAGGAAAGCTGCCTGTATGAATGAAAGAGAGTCTGGTTTTCTTCCTAATGAGTGTTGTTGTCGTTGTTGTTGTTATGTGCCATTACGTCGCTTGCGACTCACAGCGACCCTATGTACAACAGCCCTAAACTCTACTCTGTCCTGTGCCAATCACACTGTCTCTGACACACCTATCCCAGTTACCCCAGTCACTGAATCAGTCCACCTCATAGAGGGCCTTCCCCTTCTGCACTGTCCCTCTACCCTACCAAGCATGATGTCCCTCTCCAAGGACCAGTCTCTCCTTATAACATATCCAAAGTATGTTAGACGGAGCCTCAGAATCCTTGCCTCCAAGGAGCAGCCTGGTTTAACCCTCTCCTGGATGAATCTGTTTATTTTCCTAGCAGTCCATGGTACCTTTAATACTCTTCTCCAGCACCAGCTCAAAGGCATCAATTCTCCTTCTATCCTCTTTGGTCATTGTCCAACTCTCTGATGCATAACAAGTGATTGCAAAGACGATGGCCTGTATCAGAAGCACCTTAGTCTCCAGAGAGACACCATTGCTCTTTCAGTACTTTGGAGAGGTCCCTAACAGCAGACTTTCCTATTGCAATACATCTTTTAATTTCCTGGCTAAGAGTGCTGACTGTGGAGCCAAGCAAACTAAAGCTGTGAACAATCTCAATCTCTTCACCATCCATCCTGATGCTGCCAGTTGGTCCAGTGGTGAGAATCTTTGTCTT